AGTTCACTTTGAAAATTTCACACTATTGCAAGAAAACCTGCAATTCATTGTTTCTGCAGCCCTTATTTATACATTCAGGTTTATTTTAATTATTGTGGTAATTATGAACCTTCAATTATATACTAGAGAAGTTATTAGTCTAAACCTTAAAATAAAGCCTTATTTGCTCACATGTAGTGATGCCTTTATGTTGCTCATTCAATGCAAAAAGGGATACACTCTATCCCAGTGGCCTCCAACCTTTTTACACGCAAGATCACTTTTTAAATGACAGAACAAGCCAAGATCTACCATCCTGCCCCTTCCCTGAAGCCCCGCCCTCTCTATTCTCCTCCTCTCCATCACTTGCTATCCCCAACCCTTATACTGCTGCTTTTTTTTTTTTCCAATTCTTCTGTAGGAAGAGGTTTTTCCAACATTTGGCCTGTCTTAGACTGGACCAAATGACAGAAAAAAACCCTTCTTTTGGAAGCCCCCTTATTCGTTGGGGAAAGAGGAGTATAGGGGTGACAGAAAGATCATGTTTTCTCTTCCACTAAAAGAGGCAGAAGAACAAATGAATCCCTGGATGCAGAAATGTTTTTGTAAAATATTTCTGGAATCCTGAAAAGCGCCTGAAGTCTAGCCATAACCTCGCTGGGTTGAGACAGGATGTATAGGCTCTGGGGTGGGAAAAAGGGATTTCGGTATGGGAAGGGGTGAGAGGTGCAAGCTCTGGGAGGAAATCTGGATGCAGGAGGAGGTGGATAAGGGGATGCTGGCTTGGGGAAGGGGCACCAGGCCGGGCAGTGTTGGGTTCAGATGTAGGGTTAGGGTACTAAGCCACCACAGATTTCTGGATGTGAGACAGGAATTTGGGTTGGGGTATGTGAGAGGCTCAGGGCAGGGGGTTCCAGTGGCTCAGATGTAGGGCCTGGGGGAAAGAGGAGTGCAGGAGTGTTATGATGCTGTGGCCAGATGGGGGTTTGGCCCCAATTTGGGGTTTGCTGGCTAGGCTTCATTTTTAAATAAAATACTATGTCAAACAAAAAGTTTTTGCATTGCCTTTATTTCTGAGAAGGGCAGGGAACCTGTTTTGAGTCAGGGGTCACCGACCCAAGAAAAAAGTCAGTTGGGGCCACACAAGTGAGATGCAAAAAAAAAAAACCCTCCTCCAACTCCACCCCCACCCGCCAAGCTTCACTAATGTGGCCTCAACTGTGTTGGTGGGAATAGGGGCCATAGTACTGGGGAAGGGTGCTAGTAGGTGCTTTGGCAGGGAACAGGGTGCCAGTGGGAACAGAGTTCTGCAGCTGGAGGCAGGGGAGAGGGAACAGGGTTCTGGGAGGGGAGAGGACAGGGTTCTGCATCAGGGGACAGAGTGCCAGTGGGGATAAAGTTCTGGGAGTGGGGACAGAGTTCTGTGACTCGGGGCTGGGGAGTGAGGAGAGGGATCTGGGGAGTGGGCAGTGGGGGCAGGGTGCCAGTGGGGGCAGAGAGTCCCCTGCATCTGCCTCTTCCCAGGATTCCCCCCTGCCCTCAGAGGGAAGCTGGCATATGCCTCCTCCGTGCCCGACTCCCCCCCCCCTGCCTGTCCCTGCCCCGGGGCCGCCCCCTCCCCACCCCCGGTGCAGGGAAACCCCTCATGTGCTTGCCCCAGGTCTAAAACCCCCGGGGTGCAGGGAAATTCCCGTGCATGCCTGCCCCAGAATGGAAACACCACTCTTCCCCCACCCCTGCCCACGACGCAGGGAAACACTGTGTACGCCTGCCCCGGGCCCAAAACACACCCTCCCCCACAGTGCAGGGAAACCCTGCGTGCACCTGCCCTGGGGCCAACTCAGCCCTCCTGCGCTGGTGCAGGGAAGTCGCCATGCTCCTCCTCCGGGGCTGACACCTCCTCCTGCAGCGCACTCGGCAGAGCAGCTAGAGCACTTCCGGAACCCCTAGAAGTGGCGCTAAGCTGCAGGACTTCCGTCCATCCATCTATAGGAAGCCAGCTGGAGGTAGGTAGTGGGGCTTCTCGGGGATGGGGGGGAAATGAGGGAGGGCGGACGCCTTGTGATCGACTGGTGACCACGGCTCTATCCTATTAGAGACTTTCACCTTCAAGAACTGTCCCTGGGGCAGTTAGAGTTGATAATAACCCATAAAGAGGCCGTTCTATTTAAAATAGGGAGGTCTCAGCAGCCTAGGAATAGGGAAAATCCATCCCCAACTTGTCCCAATCCTGTGCTCAAAACAGCTTGAGTAAAAGCGAGAACCTATCTTAAATACTTGTCTAACAATGTTACACATAACGGCTACGTCTACACTGGCCCCTTTTCCGGAAGGGGCATGGTAATTTTTGAGATCGTAATAGGGAAATCCGCGGGGGATTTAAATATCCCCCGCGGCATTTAAATAAAAATGTCCGCCGCTTTTTTCCGGCTTTTAGAAAAGCCGGAAAAGAGCGTCTACACTGGCCCCGATCCTCTGGAAAAAAGCCCTTTTCCGGAGGATCTCTTATTCCTACTTTGAAGTAGGCCCTACTTCCCTATTACGACCTGGAAAATTACCATGCCCCTTTCGGAAAAGGGGCCAGTGTAGACGTAGCCCTAGAGTATCAGGGGAGGGGGGAGATAGAGCAAGTTCCTGTCAACCTTAGACCTGACTAAAGGACTATGTCTAGACTGCAGGCTTCTTTCGAAAGAGCCTCTTTCGAAAGATCACGTCTAGACTGCAGGCGGATCGCGGACATTTTTATTTAAATGCCGCGGGGGATATTTAAATCCCCCGCGGATTTCCCTATTACGATCTCAAAAATTACCATGCCCCTTCCGGAAAAGGGGCCAGTGTAGACGAGCCCAATATGTCACCAGCATTACTAAGGGGTACACAGTAACTCAAGCAAAATGTAACCCATTCAAATCAGAGTAGTATAAGAAATCCTGTACTTATCTAGCAAATTAAGTGATATGCCCCAAATGTACAAAATAACAAACAGCATACATTTTCATAAACAGAATACAATAGAATTCAGAGGTCCTTATCCTAACTCTCTGGTTTAACCAGTAGGCAGTACTTCTTCTATGTAATATACTATCCAGGTAAAATAAATTATTTCTCACTTTACCTTAATTTCTGCCAGTAAAAGACCAATAATTTGTATATCACATTACAATTATAAGTAGCAAGTCTGAGGTGAAGTTTTCAATCAAACGAGAATCTAATTTTTAATACCAGTGGAATGGAAAAGATGCATATAGACTGTCCTCGCTATAAGTCCAAGATACGTTCCAAAAAACTTGGACTTATAGCGAAACAACTTAAAGCAGGGAATTTTGTCACTCTTCATAGTACACAATTTTATTTTATTTTTTTTGGCACAACTTAAGAGTGAGGAATGGGAGAACTTATGCATCAATTCCTACAAGCATCAATGACGTTAGTGCGGAACGGATGTATACTGGGGCTACTTATAGTGGGGATGCCTATATTTACTTTATGTACTGTGTATAGTAACAAGTCAAAATTATATTCATTATTCCATATTGAAGTTCAGGGAAAGGTATATTTAAATAAAAGAAAGAAACCTCAGAATTAGGTCATCCAACATTACTAATTACAAATATGCAGCCATAAAGCAAATGCTCACCTGGTATGTGTCCCATAGCCTTATGGTACACCTCAGAGGAACTTCTCTCATTAACAAGTTATTCATCCAACGGAAAGCAAATTGCAAGTATTTCACCTCATGTTGATCTAAGTGTCTGTGTACTTGTTCTGGAAGACAAAACAACATGTATTACTTCTTATCTTGCATTTAGTTTACTGTCTCTGATGGTTTAAACAGCTATATAATTGAGGTTAAGATTTGTCAGAAGCACTTCTAATAAAAGTCAGACAGGTCATAGGCAATAAACAAAAATATATGGAAGCCTGCAACCTGTCCTTGACTTTTATCAAAAATACCCTTGGGTATGGGAGGAGGACTAACAGTTGGAGCCCTGCTGGGCACTGACTGTCAGTCCCTGCTCCAGTTGTTCGGCTCTTCCTACAGCAGCTCTGGCTATGTGTCCAGTCTCAGCCACTGCTCCTATCCCAAGGGCTAACCACCAGCCTTCATGACTGCTCCTGTGTTGACCCTGGAAGCTGCTGCCCAAGCCCCAGGGGATGATCTCACCCTAGCCACTCCTCCTGCAGTATCAGTTATTGGTACAGCCCAGGGGGCTGACCTGTGGTCCCAGCCACCACTACTCTGGCTCTGGGTGGCTGACCAACTCCACTGCTCGTGCAGCCCTAAGGGGTTCAACCATCCCTGGGCAGTCATTCTGGCCACTGTTCCTGAGATGACAGTGGCCACTGCACCAGAGGCTGTTCTGATGTCTCCAGAGGCTGACCTAGCCCTGCTGACTGCTCTGACCTCAGGCCATTGCACCTAGCAAGGGCTGACTACTAGGGCAGGCTGAAGACATCATGGATGTACACTGAAGTCACAGGATGTATAATCTCGGTGACTAAATTGCATTTTTATGTATAATTCAAATTCTGCTGTATCATTCAAAGTAGTACAGACCTAGAGTAATGCCAGTTATTTTCAAATTCCTTTAAATTTTTTAATGATCAAATATAAAGTGACTAGGACAGCCTAGTCAATATTTCCTAAAATTTTTAAGAGAGGGACCATATTATCTATATTTGTAAGGCTTCTAAAACTTTTTTTTAAATCTTATGTTGACTTAAAACTCATCTTCTGTAAGGCCAAAAATGGACAAACCACAATATTCCTCTGGATCAATATATTCCCGTGGAATCTTGCCATTCAAATTTCAAAAGTCCTTTCCTCTAAAACACTTTCACAGAGGCATAAAAATGGATAATACAGAGGGACTAGATGCTTATCATCCCTTTTATATTTTTTGTATTTAGCTCTTTTCAGAAATAATTATAAAGACGCTAAGACAACAGCAAGGATGTCTCTAGACTACAGGGTTTTTTCCAAAAAAGTGGCCTTTTTTCGAAAAAACTTCACCTGCATCTAGACTGCAGCCGCATTCTTTGGAAGTAAATTGAAAGAACGTGGCAGTTTTTTCAATCACGGTAAACCTCATTTTATAAGGAATAACGCCTTTCAAAAGAGTGCTTTTGGAAAAAAGGCACTACTGAATGCAAAATGTGCTTTTTCGAAAGAGAGCGTGTAGGCTATCTTTCGAAAAAGCGGCTTGCTTTTTCGAAAAATCTTCTTGTAGTCTAAATGCTCTCTTTCGAAAGAGGCTTGTCGTCTACACGTAGCCCCATAAGAACAGTATGGTTATAAGGAAGCATAGCATGTATGGGTTTAAGGCAGCAAAGACTAAAAATAAAAGATACCCCAATTAATTCAGTGTTTGAAACAACATCTGAAATCTGTGACTCTTTGTCAACCAGTATAGCAGAGCCCTCTTCACACAAGAGAATTTGCTTTCCAGTGTTGCTCCCCAATATGGAACATAATGAATATCACAGGATGTCCACATGCATACAGCACAAACCCAAAGCATAACATCACATTCATGTTAACTGGAGTTAAGACAGGTTTGTACTGTACTCATTTTTAATGTGTGCGCCAAACATGAATTACCAAATTACGATTATGTTTAACATATATGTACTAATTGTCCACATGTGCCAGAAAAACAAGGGATACAACACATCATCACTTAAAGTAAGAGAATTTCAATTCTTTCAGATGTTGGGGATACACACCCACTACGACATGGTATCCCAGCAAGCTGTACTAGAATACGCCAGTCCAGGAGGGAAGGTAAATCCTTGGACATTTCAGAGCAAGTTTTCCATCAAATGGTCACTAAACCAAGAGGTCATTCAAATTTAACTCAGTGTTGGTAAGTAATGAGGAAACAGCTTTGGATCAAATTATCCGGAGCTGATTGAATTTAAAGTAAATGGTAAGATAATCAAAAGCAGGTCCTCGACTGTAGGTTTTTTTGTTTCAAAAGGGCAGACTTCAGGGAATTAATAAAAGATGACAACTACACAGAAGAAGTTAAGGAACTAAAATGCTTTTATTTAAAATCAGCTTCATGAAACTATTTGCAATTTGCATTCTAAGAAAAGGCAAAAATCTTGTAGAGACAGGCTACAGACCAAGCTGTAAGAGTGGAGTAGAAGTGTACTAATTATATGTGATAATACAAAGTTAAGAGGCATTGTCAATACAGAGGAAAATGAGAACATTGCTTTGGAAGAATTGGATAACCTTGAAGAGTGGAGTAACTGAAATGGGATGAAATTCAATAGTATAAAATGCAAGGACATGAACCTGTCTTGACAATCCACATTAATTTTAGTGAAGCATTTCCAGAGACCCATTTGTGTTTGCATAGCAATAGAAAAGTAGCCCTTTCGTAATGTACTCTGTGGCCAGGTGGGTTGGCATCAAAGTTGGGATGTGTGTGCCATCTATCACCCCATCACAGTTCAATAACCCCCTGATGCAAATCCATCCTCCAATCACTATACATTACGGATAGCCACAATACTATGTGCAGGGCCAGCTTTAGCAAGCGCGGGGCCTGATTCCGGGGGAGGCACCGCGCATGCGCCGTGCGCCCGGAGCATCGCATACCTGGCACAGCACTGCGCATGCGCCATGCACCTGGGGCCCCGTGCATGCATTGTGCATTCCGGATGGCACTGCGCATGTGCCACATGCCTGGGGCGTTGCGGACCTGGGGCAGCACTGCGCATGTGCTCTGCTCCTGGGGCCCCGCGCATACATCATACGTCCCGGTTGGCATTGTACATGCGCTGCGCACCAAGGGCCCCGCGCGTGCGTCGCGCACCCGGGATGGCACTACAAGTACGTCTCACACCCGGGAGCGGAGCCCCATTAGGCCCGGGGCCCCATTCCGGGGAATTGGCCAAATCGACCTAAAGCCAGCCCTGCTACGTGCTTTATGCCCAACCCTTTATGATTCTGCACACATCTATCACAATCCCTACTGTGGATTTTCCAACTCCAAAAGGATTGCTCACCTACTGGTAACAAACTGGCATTGCAAGTCTCCACTGCATGATTGCCACTTGCTTTCCCATTGTCAATAAGGCTCTCATTCTGATGTGCCTGCACCCGATGGCTGGGACAAGCTCAACACACAGATCCAGAAATGTGACCATTAGCATCCAAAAGTTCTGAAGCTACTACTCATCAATCCACTACTCATCAACCCAAATCTACATTACGATGGCTACCATTCCAGAAATCACTGCAAAAATATCCAAAAGGCACTGCAGTGGAGAGCTATCCATACTGTGGTGCATTTTACACCAATGCAAGCACTCCTAGTGAGCACAATATGTGTGCAAGCAGCCAAGCAAGTACAAACCAGAGTGACATGTATCCTTTGGCAGTTGTACACCAGCATAACTTGTATCAAGCAAACTTTATGATGTAGACTTGACCAAAACGATAAAAGATTTTGTGAGCAATCCATGAACAACATTCAACTAGCAGTGGGGACAACTCAACTAAATCCAATCTGCTGGTTGGTAGAACAGTTGCTTACTACTATGATGTGACTTCCAAGCTTTGCTGCTACTGTATTTAGTATACTTCCCTTATCAAAGGAGTAATAGATAAAGCCCAGGATAAAGCATGTGAGAACTAAGAAAAAAAAGTTGGAGAGTGCCCTAATGCCATCAATCTCAAACATGACTCAAGTCAATGAGTATACAAAGCAACTACATATGCCTCTGTGTACAGAGAGTTAAAACAACAGAAGCTGCTACCCAAGGTACTGGTTAAACCATGTAGGCTAAAGAAAAAGCAGCCAACAGCAAAAGAAGCAATAGTAAGCATGATCCTGAGCGGGAGAGCAGGCAGAGCTCCATGGAGGTACAATACTCACTGGAAGAGCAGGCCTAGAAATTGTGAATAAGAAAATAACCTGCTGTCTGTTACTACTTTGTTAGGGAAACAGGACTTTGTATACATTCTTTACAAATGAGCAGTGTTGGAACAGAGAGAGGCTTAAAGACTAAGCAGTCCCCAGGGATATGCTAAAGAACTGTCATTCAAGACTACCGTAAGATTTTGAGAGTGATCCTAAGTAGAAAATAACAGACATGTATTAGAGTTAGCAGTGAGGTTTACTTGAAAACGAAGCATAACATGCTTTCATACTAGATTTCGGAGCAGGCTTTCTACTGTCCTAAGCGGAAACTGAAACCAATAAAGAATACACAAGATGGAGACAAGAGGGAAGCATAAGAATGTGCAGGGGTAGGAAAAAGCTTATTTTTGCTTGAATTAAAATTTCATTATGATAAACTTGTGATGATGGAAATACAGACAAAATATAAAGCATTTGACAACAAGGTGAGATTTAATAATGATTTGTTAATGCTGAGCTATAGAACCTAATCACAAATTGCAATATGGGATAAAAAGAAGAAGGGGGTCTAATTTAACCCATAGAATCGCAACACAGCTTGGGATAGAATGAGCGGTGGACTGGACCACAGGGCCTGGGAATTCTAGCTTTTTTTTGTGCTGTTTGAAACTAGATACCTATTCTTGGATTTATAAACTAAACTTGAGCTTAACCATGTGACATCTGGTCCATCACTAATCTAAGAACACACACTATTTATAACAGGACGGCACCAAAGAAAGACCTGAGATGTCTAATCAATCTCTCTTAATGCAACCAACTAACCAAGGTCTTGAATAATGCTTAAGCCAAGAGGAGTCAAAGTGACTGTGACCATGGAATGAACTG